ATCGGAAGGACTTCAGGATCGAGCAGCGTTTCGAGCTCTTCCTCTGTGAGTGACCAAAGATACCTGATTTATCTGGGGCAACGATCGGAAATCGTTATCGTGATTTAGTACCTCAGCATTTCGTCTTGGTCGCTGCCGTTTACGGCAACCGTGTCACTGCAGCGACAGGCCGAGAATCCGCTGTTGGTAGTGATGCATACCGTCAGTTCTTGATGGACCTCGTTGGCTTTCTGTGGAGCTCCCCGTGATGAAGAACTCGAAGTCGGGAGTAACGCCACAATCTCTCTTCCCTCGCTCCATGCGTCGCAATTGTCGGAAAAGCTGTCGACAATTGGGTCTTCTACATGAGCGGCCAGTGGCCTAGTCGAAATCCCATAATTGCTCTCCTCGGAGGGAAACACTTTCCTCTCCGGTTGACTGTCAAGTCCAAGGCCGCTCAGCGGCCCATAAGGAAAGGCCTTCATGTCTACATTGAGAGTGTGGCTAGCCGAAGATTTGTTCTTGGGATCACATCGAGAACTGGTACTGCGTACCCGTTTTGAATTGGCCAAGCACTTTGCTTTCGGTTTCGGCCTAGCCGTTCTCTTGGCCTTCGCCTTAGGTACCGATTTACCCTTGTCGTCCGCATCAGGCTGTTGGTAGCGTGAAGGCAACTTTATAGGCGTTCCAGTTGATGTGCGGGTTCTCATAAATTGGGGGAGGCTACGGAGACTCAGCAGTGATCCAACGTGAATCCTGATATAGGTTATTTCCAATTTCTAACGGTGAAGGTGAAACAATGGCATCCTGCTGAAGGGTGTTTCAATGTGCAGCACTCAGATCATGGATTCCAGAACCGAGCCAAGAGTCGAACGCGGTAGCTTTGCAGTATCAACTGGCTATTAGTCGTCAACAGCACCTCAATTTTGCCCTGACATCCTTTGTCGTCCTTTAAGTGTGTCTACGTAAACTCAGTATTGAGCTGTGAGTGACGGGTACATGGAAGATCGGTTTCTGGACGTTGTCAGTTTTTCGCAGTTAACGCAAGTGGTCCTATCGGTGTTTCGCAACTTCTGTTCCGTGAGGAGGCTTCAGAGCTCGTTATATCGTGCAACGTGCTCTAGCGAGTCAGTGACCGGGAGTAACTCGATAACTCTAGAACGCGACACTCCTTGAGTCAATAATCCCTATTAAAATAACACAGGTCATCACCGATACATGAGCATAGTTAGACTTCGACAAGCAACCCGGATCGTGTTACGTGGATCGCTCGTTGAGTAGGCTCAAGTAAGCAAAAAGCAGTAGAAAAAAGAATGCACACATCCGTGTAACTTGACATGGACGCCTTAAAAGTTTGACGACCGCAAAAGAACACAAGATAGCGTGACATACGATACCCAATAGTCACGACTCTTTCCTTCTGAAAGCGCTGTTACCCACAAACGTTTAGCGGACTGACCCGTAATAGCGATACGCGCTTAACAAAGTTCCAACCCGGAACTCCCAAACGCGCACGATGCAAGTTGCATGCGTCCCCAAAAGGGACATAATTGTGTTTCACGCAAGTGCAAGAAGACTCCTGACGCATAGTGACCAATAATCCACTGTAGTTCCCGAATAATATTCATTCTTTCGAAGCAGCTGCTGATGAGTTGGTCGAATATGCAAGGTTTCATATTTTTTGCAAGATCCCCAGACCGGGAGCTTTCGAATGGTAGTTCACACGTTATCATATCTGTTCTGGATCGGGCTGGACAATTGCATACGCACGCACGCACAAAGTCATCGTGAAGTTAAAGAATACGCTCCGCTCGCTTCGCTCACTCCGCAATTACGTGCTGGAGATGCACACGTGAAAGGTATATCGATCAACACGACGCGCACTTTTAATACTAGTTTCACACGGTTTTCACGACACATACACAGCGTTTCCTGAGACGAGCTTGATGGATTTTTCTTAGTTCAACTAAGTTAGTTACACCCGGCCCCACCGATCTGTGGGAAAAATTTGATGGTGAAAAGTCCGAAATCGCCTCAATCGAAGACTGTTAGCGTAACATTAGTTGACCATGGACACTTTTCGCTACGCCCGGGCGGGGACCCCTCCCCCGCCCTTCAAGGTTTTGACACTGGGGTACCTCACCCAGTCACCAGTACCGACTGGCATAAGTATAAGAGGTTCGGATATCAAAATCACTTCCCACAGGCCAGAAAACTCACTGCGTTTTCCGGCTCGTGGGGAGAGAGTGGCTCTGAGTTGAACTCAGAGATTGCATCTCGACCAACTTTGATAATAGGGACACTTTCCCCGAGACACAGTCCAAGAGCAGTGTCCTTCACCTTGATAGCATAACCGCGTCGCCCGTACAGGACTTTGAATGGTACTCTCGGCCCGAGAGTCTCGGGTTCGACCAGGCGGTAGAGATTCTGGCACGGGTTGGTGACGCTCTACATTGAAAGTCATGACTTCAATCGTTGTCTCCCGGTTGTCTCTTAGCGAGCCTCCTCTGTCCCGTAAGCAAACCTTCTGTCGTCGTTTTCCTTATTGCTTCCGCGGCGGAAGTTCCGCCCTCCCCCGCTCGCTCCTGAACTCTTATCATCCAGTAGCCTAGTTATCCCTTCCCCATTACATCAATACCTATCAGAGTTTGCCACAGATTCTTGGGGGCTCTGTACTCCTCTACCCCGTTCTCCGCCGCCCTTGGTGTCGTCGGTAGGCATCGCGCGTTCGTCTGTGCGTGCGCATCTAGATCGCGTACGTCGATCCTCGCGATCGTTCGTGGTTGTACTTACAGCGTTCCGCTCTCGGGAAGGTCTCTGTGCTGAGGCTGCTCTCGCTTGCATACGACTGCTTGGGTCGTCGTCGCCCGAATACAATCGATCAGGCTATGTGTGTGCGTGCCCCATTGCTCATTGCTTGTGCTTTGGAAGCCTCACGGATTGCCCATTATTCTTTTTGGTCGAACTTATTGATTCATATGACATCGGTATCAGATATTATCACCCTCATTTCCTAATGATGGACTCCGAACCCTCAAATGATCCTGAGTTGTCACTGGGAAGAACCATACTCGAGCCCCAAGACGCTACAGAGATTAGGAAATGGAGAACATCTCTTAGTCTTGGTCCTGGTTTCAAATCCTTCTCACTTGATTTCGACCCTAGCCTGATATCCTCGGCCCAGACGGATTATCTCCTGGCCAGGCTCTTGGAATTCGAAGCCATACCCCTGAGAGGGGTTAGGGCATTCGTTTCTAACTGGGCTTCGGCCATGGTATCCAATGATGCGGGGGTTGAAGGCAGCGGGAGTCCAACAGCTGCTCAGGCACCCTTGGACTTCGCAAGGGCGATCTTAAGCATGGTGCTTCACACAGGGCTGGTACATGGGATGCCCATTCGGCCTCTGCTTCGATTAGCGAGTGCTCTCGCGGTCATATCTACTAAGAGGAAGTACCGGTTGGTGCGTAGCATCGAGCTGGGCAACAATCGCGACTACTTCGACGCCCTATTTGAGGCCTTCGTTGCTGACACTGCTATGGGGGGCACAGGCTCGGCCACAAATCGTTCACCTTCCATCGCAGGGGCAGTAAGTCCCACTGGCGATGGAGAACCATCGTCCACGGCTTCGCACTCCCGAAGGCAGGCTCCGCTGGACGTGTTCAAACTCCCACTTGAATATACAGAATTCGAAGGTCCGACGTCGGCCACTCCCTACTCTGCCTTCCAAGGAGGTGTGCAGACGTCAGTCAGGGTCTATGGCATCGATAACGAGCGAGACTGCACGCTCTTCCTCTTTCGGCACATCGGGAAGAGCTTGGGGTCCGAACTTATCACACATCTTGGGACAGCCCAACCGGCTCCGTCTGCTATATGGGGATAACTCGACTCTCGGTTTCTCGAAACTGATACATCCGAGGAGGCCAGCGAACGCTGGGAGAGTCTCAAACAGAATACTGGTGAGAAGGTTGACGAATATCATGCCCGCATTAAGAGTGAATGGTTGCTCTTCTCTCGTGTGTCCGGCGTCACCTCACCCTTGCCATTTGTCTCTGCCAAGTTTGTTGGGGGACTGCTTCCTGAGATAAAGGCACCTCTAGAAACCAGCTGTGGACATCTGCTGCCTAAGCTGCCTTTAGAGGAGGCTCGGGACGCGGCCCTATATCACGAATCTAAACTCTCATCTAAATCGGATGGGAACGCCCGCGAGGCCCTCCCGAACAAGCGGAAAGCCCCCCAGTCAGGCCCCCCAGTCGCATAATCCTGGACCCAAGGAGGTCAAGGAACCCCCTGTGGGAAGGGACAATGTGGCTGGAGGAGGTTACTCAAAGGATGGCAAATCTGGATGCTCCTACTGTGCTACCCGAAGGTACAGAGGGGCGAACAAGCACGATGACGCACACTGCTGGAAGAACCCTGCGAACGCTCACTTGGTTCCGGACTGGTATCGTCAGCCCCAAGCTGAAGCTGCAGCAGCCAAGGCATCGAAAGGGCAAGGGGACGGGCAAGAAACCGTCCAAAAGGCCGCCCAATCGACGTTCATGGCACGCTCCGTTGGCTCTGCTCATGAAGGCCTACGCGTCGTCAAAGCTTCTGCTACCGGTTCATCCGGCCGAATTCTATCAGTGGAATTGCTGATCGACTCCGGTTCGGGCCTGACATTAATATCATCCTCGTCGGCGAGTATTATTGGCTTTAAGGTGACACCAGCTAGGGGGCTCAAGAAGCTCGAATCAGCTGGATCGCTAGGCTCCATCTGCGTGATAGGACAGGCTCGGATTCCGATAGTCTCAAGGATAAGGCGGGTAATGACCTCTCCTTTAATTTGCAGCTCAATGTTGCTGACGGCCTCAATATAAAACTGGGCAGGTCCACTTTGATTTTGGGGATGGAGACCCTCAACCGTTCGGAGGCCACCTTGCATACTACGGATGATACACTCTATTGCGGAGCATTGGGTTCAACCTGGTCCCTGTCACGTTATAGCGGCGGGAGCATCTCCAGCGTCCTCACCGATACACGGCTCAAGGAGTAAAGTGGACGAGCGCCTAAGGGATGGTCGTTCCCCAAGGTCACTGTCCAGCTGAAACCTGGTGCCGTGCGACCCTGTCCCAAGCGGCCATATGTGTGTCGTAAGCGCGAGATGCAGGCCATGGAGCTCATGGTCAAGAATCTCGAGAAGAGCGGAATCATCACTCGCCTATCACGTGCGGCGGTCGATCATCGTCAAGTCTGGATCTCTCCTGCGTTTGCGGTACCGGAAACGGCCGCGGACGACGTTGCCGAGCCCTTAACTGCGGATAATGTAGATCGTGCTTATCGTCTCGTCGTTGATGAAAGGTGTATGAACGAGTCCGTCATGGACCTGCTACCCAGCTGGGGGACCTACATGCGCTCCGTAGATGTGTGCTTGTCTGAGCTACCCTCTAGTGACGTATGGTACGCAGGCATTGATGTTGGCCAAGCCTTCTTCAATCTAGAATACGACGAAAGCTGTGTGCACCTATTTGGATTCTCGTACTATGATTCAAACGGCGAGGTTCAATACGCGTTGTTTCGCTATATGACTATGGGGTTCAAGCTGTCATCTTCTTATTAGGCCTACTCGATCCACTCTCTCCTCTCGACAGCTGTCCCCGAAGCGTACTGCACGGACGGGCCATCCCACATCTTGAACTTTTTGGACGACATCTTGGCATGTCACGGTTCATGGACGAATGTGTTCACTTGAAGAGCCTCTTAGTATATATCCTTGAGAGGGTTAATGCCAAGGCTCCAATAGCCAAGCGCAAAGGTCCAGCTCGAGAGATCGACTACTTAGGACTCACTCTGGTTCAAGGAGGCTATAGGGTATCCGACTCTACTCTGGAAACACTCCGTACAAATCTGGAGTCTAATTACGAAGGTGGAATTATTACGAATTATCTGGAGGTCTTCGTACGAAACTCGGACTCCTACAATTCTGTCGTTCCCTATGGAGACCTGAACGCAATCGTGCCGATAAGACTCTCAGCCATCCCACGGCACCGTTCACCTCTTTAGTCGGCTCGATGATCGCGGCCAAGTCCAAAAAGACTGCGAGTCTTCGTTGGACGGCGGACCTCGAGACGGCATGGAAGGCCATCGGCGACAATATGGGTGATGCATTCGTGCCCTTTCATTCCCAGCTTGATAACTGGGACAGAATGCAACTCGTCCTCATGACTCATGAGTCATGAGTGACGCGTCGCCTGAGGCTGGCGCAGCCTGTCTATGGCGTCTGTCGAGAGACAAGTTCGCGTGTAACGCGGATCAAATTTCAGCCGACTGGTTGGCTGATAATGCCCAACTCATCGGTGTATGGACCCACAAATTTTCCACATAGAAGAAGGCCTACGACATCGCCGATCGTGGGTTATATGCCATATGTCACGCTCTGTCTCACTGGCGTCAACTCGTCCTTTCCTTCCTCAACTTCCATAAGCTCCACTCCTCGGACAAACACCCTGGTCTCGGACGGGTCACGGTTTTCATGGACTCCACTAGTGCTCTGGGCAAGATCGAGGGTTGTCGCAACTCCTCTACCTACCAGCCGACTACTCGACAGACTAAACGGTGGCTTTCATGGTTGGCAGACCTACTGGAGTACGATGAGGCTGATCTGACCTACCGGCATGCGAAGGGGAAGGATAACTCTTTCAGCGAGTCGCCTTGCTCAAGGGGGACAGCGGTATGTCCCTGAGGGTGGTGGCGAAGCATTTGTCTTGGTGACCTCGACATCATCCTCCCAGAGTGAACTAGCCACCACGGATCGTTCTGCCTCTGTCCACGACTCCACCAGTTGCATTCTGGCGGGTGACTTGAGAGTTCAGTTGATAACTCTTCAGAAGGCAGATTCCTCTACCCTCATCCATGGTGATACGCTACAGGCATGGCAGCATCACTTTGACGGAGCTGGAAAACTTCAGAAATTAGCCGCTGAGGCTGAAGCTCTCGGCCTTCTCACCCATGTTGGTGGGGTGGTCATGACCATCTCTGAAGCTACGTTGACTGGACCGATATCTGTTCCAGTCATTCCAGGAGGCGTAGTTACCGGTTTGAATGGCATGATCGGCACCAATGTCGACACAGACTGGAAGCTGCGAGATTGGCTCCTCTTTGTTGCCCATGAAATGGACTATCATAGACCTCACAGGGACATGCGGGATAGCCTTGTCCCTTTCGTTTGGTGGCCCTCTCTCCTTCGCGATGCTAGGTCCTGGGTTGAGCGATGTGATCATTGCATGGAACAGAAGCCTACCAAGCGTATGAAACTGGTCACCGCTCCACGTCTTCCGTGGGGACTGATAGACCTGGATGCTCGTGGGAAGCATATTGCTATTGACCATTGTTACCCAAACCCTACATGGATATCTCCCGCGAACCCATCCCTCAAGGCATTCCTCGTCATCACGGACTTGTCCACGGGGTATACACTCCTGTGCGGTGCGGAAGATGTCAGAGGAAGTACGACGGCTAAATTGCTATATGGCTCGTGGGTGAGTATCTTTGGTGTACCCCTTAGTGTTACCGGGGACAACTTCATCGACGCGCCGTCACTGCGCACGCCGCTCCAGTCCTGTGGTGTACGCTCCAACACGGTCCCGGCATACTCACCATTTTCGAATGGCAGTGCTGAGGAAAGACTCGGACGTGTCAAACGCGTCCTCCCGACGACTAAACTACCATGGGATCAAGCCTTACCTTTTGTCCAGCTGTCGATCAACTCCCAAAAGCGAGTCTCTGGCCATTCGGCGGCGGAGCTCATGTTTGGCACGCAAATTCGTACTCCTTCCGCATCGGTCCTATCTGCCATCACAAACAACACGCCCATCGTCCACATCGGAGATCTTGAAACATTAGCTACATCTGCTGAGGTACCAGACGCCCTCAGGGAAGTTCTCAAGAGCTCGGTGGGCGCGGCTCGAATCTCCACTCTTCAAGCCCACGTTCGGGACTGCCTTCGAGCCTCTGCGGCTCGGCCAGGTCGTCCATTAAAGGATGGTGAGCTCGTGGTGTGGCGCCGTCCTGAGTCTCGGCCCGTTGAAGGAACGGTCAGATTGGTCAGTGGCGTCCATACTGAAGATGGTCCCTTCTGCTACCTTAGATCGTTGGCTGGTTTCGTGACTAAGTCACACCCACTAGGCAGCCCACCTGGTCACTCTGTCAGCGTTTCTGCTTGTCATCTGGAATCCAGGCGTGCCTTTGTGGATAGAAACCGTCCAACTGTGGCCGTTGAGACCCCGATCCCCTTCACTTTGATAAAACCTGGTCAGGTCATTCTTGCCAGGCTGTCGTGTGGTGCTGATGCTATCGGAGAGGTCATGGCTGAAAATGACAATGACGATAGTGTGGCTCATGGCTCACTAGTGGTCCACATTTACGACTCGCATGATGGCAATAAATTTTTCTCGGTGTGGTTATCTCATGACGGTTCTACTTACACTGGTGACACTCCGGAAGACGCTCGGCGGGACAGTCCGCTCCTGCGTACGGTGTCTTCGGTACTCATGCGTATCAATCTGACTCCGACAAACATGCTCAAGGACACCTCACGCGCTGCTGTGGTTGAGGCAGGATACCTTGAGGCGTAATCTTTTCTCTTTTTCCAGCTCTCCAGCACTCGAGACCTTGGGGGACGTCTACAGCGTTCCGCTCTTGGGAAGGTCTCTGTGCTGACGCTGCTCTCGCGTGCGTACGACTGCTTGGGTCGTCGTCGCCCGAATACAATCGATCAGGTTATGTGTGAGCGTGCCCCATTGCTCATTGCTTGTGTTTTGGAAGCCTCACGGATTGCCCATTATTCTTTTTGGTCGAACTTATTGATTTATATGACATCGGTTACCGATGATCGGTATCAGATATTATCACCCTCATTCCCTAATGAATGACTCCGAACCCTCAAATGATCCTGAGTTGTCACTGGGAAGAACCATACTTGAGCCCCAAGACGCTACATACTGAAAGCGGACAGTTCGTTTCCGTTTGCAAAAGATCGAGGCGAACGCCTCTTCGCCTAACCTACAGTCACCGGTAATTCCGCTTCTAGTGGTAAGTTCCGGTCAGTACTTGAGTTCTAGTGGTCCGAGTGGCCTAGCAAAAGCCGGAAAACCGGTGGACCACCAGCGTTGGTGATGTCGTTCGGGTATGTCGAGTTCAACTCGAAGTTGATATCTTTTGCGTCGGGGAGTAGGCCCCGAATCCTCCCAGTTTCCAACCTTCTGCAAAAATGTTATCCCTCGTCCACGTTGCCGTGTTGCTCTTGCCTATGGTAGTTGGTCATCTGCCATCGCCTGTGACACAGATCGGGGCAGAGAATATACTGCGCTCTCTCTCGGACGATATCACTTATCGTAATTATCAACCTGGCGACGACCTGCGCCTAATCGGTAGGCAAGCCGTCGAGTTTTGCAAAGACAACGTCTGTTACGTCGCAGTGGATCGTAAAAGCATTGGACAGAAGGTCGGTTGGGTCGTCACTCTGGTCGTGCTTAAAATACAGGTGTCGTTTACTTCAGTATTTGTGAGCCTCGGGCACCTCAAGCGGTGAATGTTCCCACTCGGCATGCTTTCAGACTGTCGTCGGCATTGTTCAAATGATCATTCCCGGGAAGCACTTGAGTCCCCAGGACAGAAACGCGATCTGTGGCGACAGGTGAGGTCTGTTTGGAACGACTCTCAGACTCTGCTTCTTGGTAATACCGTGTGACACCGCGACTTTAAGAGAAATCTCCTCCGAGAACCTTCCAGGGAGATTCTTCCTATTGATATCCTTCTAGTAGTGATCCCGAGAAATTCACATTTCTTGCAGGCCGTCAACTAGTCGTCCTTCTCTGTGCTGCGTCTTCGCCTGCAAGAGGGCACCCAAAGGAAACCTCGGACATCTATACTTCGTAGGGTGGGCACTTCTGGCGGCTATCTCATGATCCTGCATTCGCTCTCAACTCTTTCAGCTAAAAGTGTCCGATGCTTATCGAGGAAGAGGAATCGCTACGGAGATGCTATCGCATACTTTCGCGGTGGTGAGTCTCTCATCGCCATTGCTGAATTCGTTTGTGGCGTCCCGACTCGACGAAGATGTCGACTCAGTCCAGCTGTATGAATGCAGCTGTATGACGATCTTCCTTCAGCTCGGGCAAACACATCCCAAGCTTATGGCCATCTATCTGCATGTGGACTCGGACAATCTCCCCGCCATACGATTATACGAGAAGTCGGGATTCAAAAGGATTGCTTGTAAGTCGCCGCGAAGTCCGTCTGTCCGACGAGTGTTGTGCGTTCTGACACTCTGGTATCCACCTCACGATTTTCAATGTCAGCTCCTTCAAGCAAGGTCTTTCTCTATGCCCGCTACATGTAATGTAGCAGTTTTTTGCTGAAGAGCAGACAGTCTTTCGGCTGTACAAGTGAGCCCGCCACTTCTCCTCCTTTCCGCCTCTTTCGCTGATTCTGTCGGCTAGACCGGTGTCGTTAAGACCGGTGTCATTAGGTAGAATTCTTTTCATCACCAACGCATTCAGTCGATCCTCAGAAAAGATCGTAAAGATAGAGGGTGATAGTCCGCCATAGCCTTCATCAGTCTTCTTCAGCTATATTCGCCCACTCAATCTCATGTTGCGTTCCGACAGTAGATGATGAGCTTGAGATGTCAATCACTAGTAGACGCGTTGGGGAAGCTGCTTATCGTAGGCAATGGAGAGGTGAGGGTCTGGCCTTCAAGTTGCTTCGGAGGCCACCAACCCAACTGCACCAGGCAGGCCACCTCCTTAGCATTCTTAACTTTGACTCTAACAGAAGACGCCAAAGGATTGCTCAATAATCTGGGCTCATCGAGTCGATAATGCAGATAAACATTCATACACAACCGCTGACCAGAGTAGACTCTACATCTTCACGCGACGAGAAACCATCGATGGTATTGCCACTGCGGACTTGAGGACTACAAGATATCAGCCACGGGTCCTCTCAGTCAGAGGCCCTCATAGCTGAGTATAAATACCCTTGAATAATACTTATGAAAGATCACCATACAGATTGGGATTGTAGGTAGACCGAAATTTGTGACAAACCATCACGCTAAATCGAAACCATCACGCCTGCTACTCCAATGCTCGAGCGCCTTCTGGCTCAAATCGCCTCATCGCAGTCGCCAGACTCAGTTATAGCTTGTCCCGAGAAGCAAGTCACCATGGTGTTGGTCTTGTTGTTGTACAGAAATGTGGACAAGTCGCCATCTTTCATTTCGCAACACTGGCAGTTCTTGTTGAGGTCGGCTAGGAACTCGTCGGCTCCTAATGAAGCTTCATATATTGTTTTCCTCTCGAACACAGAGTACTCGTCGCTGGAAAATCAGAACCAATGAAGCCCATTGGTTGAGGTAGCAGTACTGCTAGTCACAAGACCACTCGTTGGATTCTATTGAGCATGATTGGCCATCTAATAGATTTGACAGGGCTACGGCAGCAGTCAAGGCTAGAGTCTAGCCGTTCTTTGATACTCGCTTCATCCCGTCTTGCCGCTGGACGGGATGTTGGAAGGCGGTAAGTAGGAAGGGGTAACAGGAGGCGGTAGTACCACTACCGTAGTGGTAACCTCAAGTTCGTCGTTGATGGCTGGCTGTCAAACGCGGTACGGAGAGCCCTTACCTTCGATACCCCTATCTTGTGTCCGGATACGGATACTGCCAGAGAGTTCATGGTCGACGAGTCACTCATGCCTATAAGTATTAATCTCGTCCAAACACGCTCCAAAACCCGAGCTGTCCAACAGGCCTTCACTAATTGAGAAGGCTACTCGACATTTGAATGCCTCTCGAGTGTCCCTGCCGGTCCTCCTCGCCTCCTGCCCTCCTTGCTGCTTGCACTGAAAAGACTCTATTACCGTGGTTGGAGTGTCATGGCTTGTTGACCACTGATGTTATGTGTCCAGCATGTGGAAAACGCAAGCTAGTCTACAAGAAGAGATCCAGGGCCGGGCTCTGTCAGGGCTACGTCCAGTCTCCTGGGTTAACGCGAGATCATTAATCATAGGGAAATGATAATTACTTGAGACTTAACTTAACCTAACTTAAGTAGTGATTACCTACAGTGTGTTCGATTTTGATAGTCCAAAGTGGGAAAAGTGCATATCTTTTCGAATACGCATAATTTCACAAGCAAACTTCCACATATTAAGGCTAATTAGATGTGAGAACTAAATGAATAGCTGATAGCTCTATATCGATCACCGTTTCACTTGTACGGGGCGTGGAAGGGATAACCCCACCGCGTGCTGTCCCGATTTGATAGTCAACGCAACATAAACAGCTAGAAAGGAACCTAGAACTATAGAACGCGTATAGGGTCATGCTTTAATATGTCCACCACGTGTGATAAAAAGCTTCTCTAACCTTTTGTCGACAGAATCAGTGAGGTTCTTGACTTCAGCTGAGCTTATGGCCTTAGCCGCCGCCTGAACTGCATCCCACAGCGTGTCAAGGTCGTCATACTGTCTGTTGTTCGCGTAAATCTTCCTAAATCCCAAGAACGACTTCCAGAATGAATACTTAACACCGGTTACCTCTTCAGGATCGCCCAGTAGTTTTCAACCGGATTCAAATCCGGTGAATTGCTAGGCCAGGGGAGCCTCCTGTGCTCTTTGAGGCCTTTTTTGTCGAGAAATGCGTTAGTGTAGCGAGATGCATGGGACGGTGCGTTGTCTTGCATACAAAAGATAGCAAAGAGCTTAAATACTAGCCTATACTAGCCTAGCACAGCTTAAAAGATACTAAGCTTGAGGAACAGTACCGACACAATTGTCACAACAGGCTCCACTTATGGTATTCACGATGTAGAGCCCGACGATGTGGCAAGACGTCGGTCTCTGTCCGGTCTGGCATCTGAGCTCATACCGCTTGTGGAACGCAAGAACTGTATGTATCGTAGGAGGATATAAGTATACAAGAGCTATAGCAACTACATGTATCGTAGGAACTACATAGCTTAGCTAATAGCTGAGGGAGACAGGTCTGTGTCAGTCACCACAGGCTTCCCCCTCCTGAGATTGTCATATCGATCATAAAAACGTGCGCTTTTAACAGTGCGCAAATCGATCAAGTGAAACGGCCATCTTCCCCCCTCCTCATGTTCCTCGTCGAGCTCTCTTTCTCTGTCGTGCTTGTTGTGGACGCTTACGTTTCCTCGAAGGTGATGACTGCTCTTGGGATGCTCCACTCGCATATCGCACGGGTGGCTTACGAAGTCTAGTAGAACGGCGTTGTAGTTTACCGTCAGTCATCACAAAGTGGGTACCAAGGCACTTATCTTGGTCACGTGGTAGTTGTGATCCGTCATCATCATTCATAGTTATGGTCTTGTTATCATCAATGTTACCCGTATCTTGTAAAGGTAGAACTCGAGCTTGTCGTTGATCTTCGGGCTGATCTCCTTGGTATTCTTCACATTGTGATGCATCGAAAGCTTCATTTGCACCATGAGAAGTCGTCGGCTTGTTAGTGGGTAAAGATCGTGAGTCATTAGTGACAATAGCGTTACTTGACACGGATGCTGCTTTCTCAGGCTCCGCTGCATCGACTTCAGATATATTACTTGAGATCGACATATCACCAAGGTCTTCTGAATGGGTCGTATCACTATGAGGAGTTGGTCTTCTAGTTACGGTTGTGGTTATCACTGGCTCATCATTAACAATGACATTCAGTGGTTGTAGCAGTGGTGCATGTCCTAGTGAGGTAGGTGCAGGGTTAGATGGAGATACCGTGGGGTTACCATGATCTTGAATATCATGAACTTGTAGAGCCTTTGGTCGAACATTTGCTAGTCGTAGAGCATTTGCATGTACATAGTGTTGTTGTCTTGTGAGCGGATTCTCAATAGATAGCATAACTTTAGAGGAATGAGTACCAATCACTCGATAGGGGCCGACCCATTTTGAGTTGAGTTTTGTGCGTCCAGGTCCATGGTACCAATACACGATATCACCAATGACAAGACCGTGGTTACGGGGAGCTCCATATTGGCGTTGATGACGACGACGACGAGCTTCAGCTTGGTGGTGAAGACGTTGTTCGACTACAGAAAACCGGTTATCCGTGATGGCATCGTTGGCAACTAGGTAAGAGAGAGGGGAGTCATAGGAGGTGGGCTTGATAGTCTTCGGTAAAAGCCTTTTACTAAAAGGGAGGGTAGAACCTGTCTACCAAAGAATATTGTAGCTGGCGCTACGCCAGTAGTACTGTTTCGAGTAATATTATAACTGAATATTAAGTATGGTAACTGACTTATCCAATCAGAATTCGAACGAAAAGAGCGCAGTAATGTGAGTAGTGATGAATTCATTCTTTCGATCATACCATGTGAGTAAGGAGCACGGCTAGGAGAATAATCATGTTGTATATTAAATGATTCTAGTAAATTTGCTACTTCTCTACTACGGAGATTTGATCCGTTATCACTAGAAATTCGTGTAGGAACTCCATATGTCAAAAAATAATCTAATAAATATTGAGCAGTATGGACACCATCAGAACTACTAGCGATATAAGCTTTAGCAAATTTCGAAAAAGAATCTTGTAATACAAGTATCATCTGATTATTAATAGTAAGATAATCCATATATAGTAGCTCAAGTGGGTAACTAGGTAGCATTGATCGAAGTTGCAGTGGACTAGGACGAATACTCTTAACTCGCTGACATACGTCACAACTCGTAGTATAGTACTCGCAGTCAATGTTCAGGTATGGCCAATACGCTGCCTTCGAGATTAAATCATGCAGTCGTCTTGCTCCTCAGTGTCCACCAAAAACAGAGTCATGGTTTACTTGAAGTATCCGAGGTCGAAGTACCGGTGGTATATAAAGAGTAGGTATACCAAGTGGTTTACGATAATGAAGAAGATTGTTTCTCATTACGCAACGATCTTCATGGACAGGTAGATGAGGGTCTTGTGCTTGAGCTTGTCGAACTTCTTCGAGTGTAACTGGTCGTGGTTGCCACTTCAATACGCCCAAATAATCAGGTTGGTAGAAACCTTGAGCCGTAGATGGTGTTGAGATAACATTGATAGTATTATCAGGATTTGCGCTCCGTAGACCGTCAGGTAAACTCTCATCTTCGTCAGATACCAGCTGGTTGTTGTACAAGACGAACTTATCCAACAAAAGATTCCTGGTAAGATCATCGGCAGGATTCTTCTTTCCGTCAACATGGAAAATGGACCAAGTACAACCAACAGCAGTGAGTAACTCCTTTGTAATGATATATTCTCGCCGTATAAGCTCGATGTGATTCCTCGATGCCGCTGGTGCTGCTTTGATCCTGTCGTTTTTTACTATAGCATAGACAACCTTGGAGTCGGTGTAAAGGTTAACATGACCTATCTTTCGCCTTGCTAGGACTTGTAGGTGGCTAAGATACGATATCGACAAACGTAGTGCAACAAGCTCTTTGTAGGCAATGTTCAGGAATGACCGATCCTCAGATAATATCTCATTATACTGATGTAATAGTTGTGAGTGCTGAAATACCATATAGCCCAGTGCGTATTTAGATGAGTCCACGTAGACTGATAACTCGGACTTAATGTCGATGTACATTGGTACCATAAGGGGCTCAAACCGTAAGGATTCCTGGAGCCATGTCCTTGTAAGTTTATCAAGTTCAGGTCCAACAACTTGTGACCATTCATCTCCTTTCGCATTGCGTTCTCGACTAGCTATAGATTGGAACTTATGGCAGAGGGACACCAACCAAGGATTGTACACTGGATACTTAGGGATACAACCAACCAATGAATGCAGATTCTGATAAGTAATGCTGGGCTCGTTGAGGATAGTTCTCAA